GAACACTGCCTAAAGGCCATCAGTGAGGCGAAAAACCCATTTAAATAAGTCATGAACATTCGTGGATACGGTAAACTCAGAGCTGAGAAGAATGGCTTTATCGATGCGGGAAAAAGAACTAGTGGCCACTGAGCAAAGTAAATTACAGTTCCAAAGCAACCACTGTCCGCTGCAGGATGAAATTAAAATGCCAACCTTTTTCGGTTCCGGTGAATCCGTGTCAACGGTAGGCGTCGATACCTGCGGTGATTTTCCTAAAGCCGGTGGCGTGGTTGGTGTCATACGTGATTTCTGGGAGCTTTCGCCGGTCAAGCTTGTTCCTCCGAGTTCAATATTAAATTCCACAAGACGTATTCCAGTTAACGATGAAGTTACTGCATTTACTAGACGATCAAACTTCGCTTCTGGATAAATTTGTCGCTCCCGAAAAACTCGCAAAATTTTCCTCAATGCCACAACAGCATCTGCATCGGCATGATGGCTTACGTGCCTGGAAGAAAATACTTCTTTCTGAGAAATCCACTGATTGGAAACATGCTTTGACACCCTGATCACATGCTCTTTGATCGTTGTGTTTCTTCTCGCTCCAATCACAAAATTTGAAGTACATATATATCCATAAATTCCCCGTAAAACTTCCCAATATTATCCACAACGCATGTCCCTTACAAGTATTGCTAGCAAGCCCCTGAGGCTGCCACCATGTAAAATACACAAGTTATGGCCAAAATATGAAATGATTATAGGAAAATGAATAGACTGGACAGGACCCTCAAGTGCATTCATCCATTTCACCAGCCAAACAATCAGTTTTCGGATGGCACTGGATATCATTCGCAGCTAACAAACGTATAAGCTGTAGGCTTTCGAGCAAGGCAGTGGCAAGAAGCACTGTTGCTGTATTAAAAGCCAATCTGGCTTCGCTGCTCCAGCTAAGGAATGAAACACAGACGCTTCCCCAGGTCTATAGTGGATGAATGAATTTCGCCCATCTCCGATTCGAGTATTTTGAATTCGCTAATGGGATTCGTTCATTTGTTTCGATGCCAGAGCAGCACTAGGCATGCCAAGGATCAGTCAAATCTGCCATCAGTTTGCTTGTAAACAACCCTCGAAAGGCAGAGCTACCACTGGCCTTGCCACAAGTCACTATTACTGAATAACTTCCCATCTCTAATACTGAGCAAATATGAAAGCGATTTTGACATTCTGACCTGAAGCCCGTTTGAATCTGGCTTTTATAGTTATCCTCAAAAAAATATATTCTGCTGTCAAAAGAAATTCAGTAAATGCAATAACAAATTTCATGCATATGGATAAAATCCTGAAGATTGACAACCTGAAAGCCGGCTCCAAACTTTCATAAAACATTTCCATAAATTTTGGACAATGCCTCCGGCTGTTTTGTATGACATCGTTAGCAAGGTACAGCAAGTTGATAAGACGATTTGGCTTGGTTTCTTTCTTAACCTCCTGAAAAAAGGAATCCTTCGAGTGCTGGATTTGGTATTTTTGATATCTCCTTTAAATCCCGCTCCCAGTCCCTTCCTTGAGCTTCATCGCCTACCGGTCAAAAACATGCCTCTTAACGACTCACTAATTCGTTTCGATGGCAAACTGGTACTGAGAGGGAAATCAGCTTCTTTCTAAGCAATTCTCGGATGAGCAGCCAGCAAAATCATGCCGCTGCTGGCATGTATCAACACACTCAAGCTATTTTCGAGTGTCTCAGCCTGTCGTAAAAAATAAAATATGAGAAGGACTTGGAAATGCCATCGTTCTCGGACTTGGGAGGGGAGGGGTTTTCTCCGAGTGTGAGCGTCTGGTAAGAGTAGGGCCTAAGTCGGCGAAAAAGAATGACAAAGGGCTCAAAACTGAGGCAGAGATAAGTTAAAAAAAGTAAAACGCACACTCA